TTTACGCGTTTCTAAAAGTAATGATTATTCGTACAGAAGAAAGTATTAAATGTTGTTCATTTTGAACTGTAATATAATAATTCTAACGTTATATCGATTACGACAGCGGTTCCAGAAATCGATATGTATCTCTATTTTATTTTTTTATTTCGTTATCTTTAGGCGATTATATTATTATGCATACGTTGGTATGCGTCAAGTGTATTATTTTCAGTTTTGTGAACATTATACATGTAATCGCGTATGGTGATGTACATGAGAAGGAAGGTCTTTAATGAGATGATATATTTTCTAATTTTTTACGAAATTTAACCTAAGAGAATTCCATTGATAGATATCTAATTGAAATAATTTTATCTTATAAATATTTTATGTAAGTTATCTGCGTGAATTGTCTTAGTGACTTTTTATTTTTCAGTCTAATGATTGTATTTTAACGTGAGTTCCTAAATTTAACATGTATTAGTATTTTATTGAATGCAAATCTAAGATTCTTTAAAGCGTTGCTTCTTTTGCGCCAGAAGACTCTTGTTAATACAACACTTGGAATACTTTTTTAAGAGTTAAATAAATATATATTCTTAAGTATTTTAATCTATAATAATATATATTCTTATCATCACAAAAGGGCAGTAAACTTTCCCCTTTACAATTATTTACAATTCGAATACACTCGAAACCATCAATATAAGAGAAAACCTGCAGGATTTCTAGCGAACTCCTGAAAAGCTAAAAGATACCTATCAGGTGTATCAGCATACAGGAAAAAGTTCAGAATTACAACCTCGGGATACTTCAAGGTAACAAAATCAAAGATGTCTGTTTCAATACGATCATCTTTTTCATTTCATCAGGGCATTTAGTCTCGCTATGGAGAGACCATAGCAATACACGCACTGGTGCACGCAAGAAACCCAAAGAGCCCGCCAGCCACAAGTGGTTCACCGAAAACGAATCTGCACTTGGTCCGCACAGTAGGAAAGGTTGATCCGCGTCGTCCGCGTAAGGAGTGGGGAGGGCACGCGTGCTCCTCGCCGGGTGGTGCGAGTTTGACAGGGCGGCAAGCGAGGGTGGCGGGTGAACGATTATGGGGGGGAAATGCGGCGTCAGTACACCGCGAGCTACCGTCTGGTTCGCGTCGCGTTCTCCGACGTTGTTATTTCGTCCGGTTTCTATCTCTCTCTCTCTTCCTTTCTCTTTCTCTCTCCTTTAGTTTCTCCACCATTCATCGATCGCTCGATGTTCACCGGTTCCTCGTTAAGGACACGGATAATCCTCTCCTGATCGCTCCAGGACGCTAACGATCACCGGAGCGACAAGGGGTTGATGGTGTAGGAAGGGAGGGGAGGTGGAGAGATGCGATCGTTCCCGGGCGACCAGCGGTTTTCCATCGCAGAACTACGACCCCGTTGATCGGTTCGCCAAGAGGAAAACGAGACAGCGTGGCGTCCGGCTCCATTGAACGACCCACCAGGCGACAACGTAACCGAGCGGCCGCCGCTGGAACGGGATGACTGCGAGGGAAGTCACCCTGGTCGGCGGCTCTCCTTGGGGATTCCGCATGCACGGCGGGCACGACCTGCATCAACCCCTACGCATATCCAGGGTGAGTCTATTTACGGGGGAAATTTCATTGAGAAGCCTAGACACGTCTCCTATGAGAACGTCTTAAGACATCAGTGGCTGATCAGGGGGATGGGGGGTCTACTATTTTTCTTGGCAACGCAGTGTTCTTTGAGTTCTTTACCCTCTTTTCGCTGTTTCTTCTTGTTTCTTTCATAGTTACATCGCGGATAATGAAGGATATTTGTTGTTGGTTCGTTATGTATTGATTAGAATGTGTTTTGTGGCAGCTTCAATTTGGGAAGGTTGCTTCTTGCACGATTGTGAAAAGTCCGCGGTAATATGTTCACGCTAGAACTGTAGAGTCGAAGCGACTCTGTTGAAATGTTTTGTTTTCGATTGTTGGAATTATGAGGGGGCTTTTCTAGGGAATAGTTAAATGGCGAGTTTGGGTAGAGGGTGAGCTTTAAGTCTTAGGAAATGTGGTCTTCTAAATGAGTTGTTCCTATTGCTTGGTGATTTTAATGTTAACTCCGCTACCCGAATCGTTGACCAATCCTTTTGACGAAATATATCTTTACCAAAAGTAATCTTTTAATCGACGAAACAAATTATTCTATTTATTTTGGTTTTCGTGAAATAATCTGTGAAAACTTGAATGTTAGCACTGGAAGGATTAACTTGGAAGGATTGTCTTGATTTAGTGATACGTTCGCGAAATTGCGGAACGAGAAATACGAAACGCGTTTCGTGGGCCAACGAAATGTAAAATCGTTGTAACGAAATCACGGAGGTTTTAGATCGACGTAAGACCGCAGAGGGTTAAACGCGTCTGACCTCGACACACTGAACGTGTTTTAGTCTAATCCGATCTGAGTGTATTTAGCGACTTAGTGATATATTCTTTTCTTACTTTTTCGGATAAGAAAAATATTTAACGTTAAAGTTACCGAGTGGTTGAATTACACAGTCCTTATTTGTTTGTAGAAACTATGAAAGTGTATTTATTGAGATTTGGACTGTTTTATATTTCAGTTTGTGCGTTACCGCATCAATTCATGTAAGAATTCCACAATTCGATTCTATTTTAATTATACTTGAACAGCGACACTATTACAGTTAAAACAATTAATTAAGTATTTTTATATATTTATATTCGGAGGTATGTGCTAAACTTTTATAAAATTGTGCAAATTGTTTGAAATAGTGCATGTTAAATGTGTCTTGATTTATAATCAAGGACACTTCATTAGAAATTCTCGATGAGACGTCTTTGCTGAGCCGGATTTAGATCGCGACAACCGGCGAATATTATTGTGACATGTTCGGCGAATGCTAATTGGGTACAAAGTACTCGTTATTTTACAAGTACCTGGACTCACTTCTTGGGTTGGGTTTGAGTTAGGTCAACTTAAATTAGTACATCTCACCGTGTATCATTCTTTACTCACTGACACGTTGGTTCATACTTACGTACACGTGTTTTAATCGGCAACACCGAAAACATTATTCTAGAGGTCGTGTTTCTGTTTCTTACGTGACACCTTGGGATCCTTTAGAAATCCTATCTGTCTCTACAGCAACAATTTAGGAGTCACTATTCAGGAGTCACCGAGAGAATACAAATCTAAGATTTTCAATTCTGCAGACGACAATTGTAGCAGTTGTAACATTTACGTATGATTTTAGAGTATTCTTCAAAATTCTAATTGATGTAATTATGATAAATGATAAAATGTAATTTATAATCACAACTCGCCTGTAACAAAATTTAAATGTAGTTGCATTATTTTGCTGAATGATAGCCAAATTCTAAATTATTCATATACTTGTTTGTATCTTCTTTCCTATTTGACGGTACATATACGCTTTTAACAAAGTATGTCAAAGTATGAATATAAGGTCAGAACCGAATCATCCAAAAATAACAAGAAAAGTTCAGGTATAAAAACATTTGTCCTTGCATTCGGGATGGTAATAATTCTCGTTTCGCAACACTTTCCAAGCATTCTCCGTCAAAATGAACGCTAAAAAATAGCGACTGGCGCTTCTCATTATAAATCCCTGAATATTCAATTTTTTCAAGTCTCCAGCTCCAATGGTCGAAGTGTCGGCATATTGATCGGCGTTTCAACACTTTGGCCGCTATGTCACTCGAATACTGGTTGCACAATTGTTTCTAAAAATTTTTCAACGAATCGAACAAATCAGACCTTAAATGAGATACGAAAACTAATGAATGAATCTTCCCTTTAGCTTTCGTTTTGTTAAGAAAATTTCTTGAAAAAGATAACACAGTATTTGCCAAATGTACAGACAACATTGATAAGACTTTTAATATAATGAAACAGAAAATACATCAATGCAAACGGTACATCATGTTTACTAAGTTCAAATGAGAACAAGGTTGTCTACAGTTCTTCGTAGTGCAGTCTTTTAACTGTTAAAGGCTAATAACGCAAGTGACTAGATAACACTGTAAGGTAAAAGGCGTAATTTCGAATAAGTAGTAATTATCTCTAATGCCTCTTAGCTTTGCTACGATAGCTAAAAGTTGAAGTTGGTAAACGACAGTCAAACGTTGAATATTCTCGCAGCGTCGAACGCGTTAACGTAACACGCTTGACCGTTATAAAACTATCAACCTCTAAGCAGTCCACCATGATTAACGTACGCTCAGCTGTTCCCGTTTAATTGCGTCCGATCAATAATGTTCAGCAGAGTTTCTTTGCCAGTTCGATGTACTTGAATCCCATGTTTGGAGGACTTCGGTCGGCCTTGACGTTTGCCGGGTCTTAATTGAACGAGACTCCCCGTATCAATGGCGGTCGCGCGTCGAAACGTGAATTCCTTATTCTCTGAAGCGTTACCATTTTTTTTCGCGTTCGCTCGACAATAGTCCGTTGAAAAAAAATCGCCACGTGTTTCACGGATCAGATATTGTGTCGAATGTTGCGCGCTTTTCTGTTTTAATTGCTATCTCGGATTTTGTATACACCTTAGTTCACACACGAATGGAAATACATGCGCCACATTTCGCTTTTTTTTATTCCATGTTCATCATCTAAATTGAACGTTTCTGTGAATTCGTTGTTTCCTCGTTTTCGGTTTGTACGCGGCGGAATAAACAGCGGTGAAGTTACGAGGAACGATGTCATCGGATTTTTCCAGTTATTTGGAACGCTAATGGTAGACACGTTTAAACGAAGCGAAATTTATGTAAAATTATTCCGTAGTAACGTGTTACGTAACTTACAGTCACTTTATTATTTCAGTTTTATTTTATAGTTTTATTTTATCCGTTTACTTCGAGCGTTAAGGAAAATTTCTTTTGTACAGTATCTGTTGAATAACGATTAACAGCGTGTGTAATGAATAGCTTGGACTAAATGTTTCCAGCGTTCGAATCTTAAATACGTATTTTTAAAATGTCGAAGTATCATCAGTAGACGCGACAGACGTATTTCGTCATTCACGGGAGTGCCGTAAATTATGGAACAATTTAAAACGATTATATGCTGCTTGAAACGTGATAAAAAGTGCTGCTTTAACGACTGAAGTCGATCCTGAAAGTTCAATTACGCGCGTGTGATGTGGCTGGCGTGTCTGCCCATTGCATATCGTTTCTACTTGCTGTAAATGGTGACGTACACGTTGACGGTATGTGTTTTTCAGTCATCGGTAAAATCAGCAATTGGGAACAGTCGATAATCATGTAAACCGAAGAATTCGATGAATCTTGCTTGTTGAATTAATTAAAGTAACAGAATTTTCAAGCTTCTTTAGACAGTATACAGACGATCATCTCAAGCACAGTTCTGGCGATTACAATAATTTAATTCAATAGAAATGTTTGAGTTATTTATTTACTTTTATGCAATTTTTATTAGTATTCTTTCCATCTGATTCAACTATACATATATTTTTATACGAGGTGTAGTGAAATGTAAGAGTATTTTTAAGCGGTGTCGGATGATAAGAGGAACTTATTTTTAATTAGGAAGCAATGACTTTTTATTAGAACCGTAATTCACATTACTTAAAACATGTTGCAAATTATCAAATGTTATTCCGCGCTGATCAATGCGTTCACGGTATATACACAGTCCCGTGATAAATTGCCGCGAATGAAAGACATTCATTGTATCTTTCAACGTTCGCCACTGTGACGAGGATGCTTCCAGAACAAAGAACTTGCCGAGAACTTGAGAAGGATAGAGCTTACATTGTCAAAGAAAACTGCGAGCAATTTCACGACAATGCCCGACGCTTCTCACATCGAACGCAGATACTTCCGTAGATGTTTTAACCTTTTTTTTCTCCTCTTTTTCTTTATTTTCCTGGACGATAAATCGATCGTTCAACTCCGGCACTAGATTATTTTGCTTTGATGTTGCCACTTCAAATCTTGTGAACTTAATCAGCCACTTTGAGGTAAATATTTCCTATGTGGCGCGTCGTTTACTGATCTATGCGTCACCGGCATCTGAATCATGCTTGGGACTTTGCATTCTATTCTTGGTTCTTTCCAACTGTACTCGAATTATTATAATTCAAAATAGTTCTCATTGGACTAGGTTTAATAACAGTTCGTTTCTGTTAACGAATCAAACGAATTCTATGCTTCTACATATTCTTTAGCGTTATTTCTTTCAATTAATCATGGGTAATATTTTGCTCTTGTATTCTGTTGTAACATTCGGTGAGTGTAATTTTTATTTGTAATAGAAAAAGAGATTCGAATGAAGTAACCGAGACACGATTAGTAGAAATATACGAAGATTTGAGAGTGTGTAACAATAAAATAATTACTTTTCATACATCACTTTGATGTAGGACTGATAAACACTTATTGTTGATCGGGTTTTACTAAGCGTTCAAATAGTTATTTATAGAAAGTAATGCACGCACGTTCCAGGTAGAACGAAAACAGCCGTGATAGGCTATGAAATGTCTGTTTATGTATGCGCAGAATATTGCTCGAAGGCGACCAAAGTCATTAATACGAAACATGTTCTGCAAGGTCGAAAGAAGTCGGCTGCT